TCAATTTTGAACCAATCAGTGGTTCCGTGCCCAGTTCTCACTGTTGCTTCTTGACCCGCATATAGGTTTCTCAAGAGACAAATAAGATGGTCTGGTACTCCCATCTCTTTAAGAACTTGCCACAATTTGTTGTGATCCACACAATCAAAGGCTTTAGCATAGTCAATGAAGCAGAAGTAGATGTTTTTCTGGAACTCCCTAGCTTTCTTCATGATCTAGCATATGCTGACAATTTGATCTCTGGTTCCTCTGCCTCTTCGAAACCCTGCCTGTACTTCTGGTAGTTCTCAGTCCACATACTGCTGGAGCTGAGCTTGTAGGATTTTGAGCATCACTTTGCTCACATGTGAAATGAGTGCAATGGTGCAGTAGTTTGAACATTCTTTGGCATTGCCCTTCTTTGGGATGGGAATGTAAACTGGCCTTTTCCAATCCTGTGGCCACTGTTGAGTTTTCCAAATTTGCTGGCATATTGAGTGTAGCACTTTTACTGCATCGTCTTTTAAGATTTTGAATAGCTCAGCTGGAATACTGTCATAATAAAAAGACATTCTATATACTTGTAAAATCATGTATTTCTTTTTCCCCTCTCCTGATTTTCAAACCCCATGTTCTCCCCAGCAGTGATGAGATTTGCACCGAAACTTAGGGCATGAGGATTCCTGGGAGGGATGGCAAATGCCGTCCTTGTCCCTGCCAGTCACGAGGTCCCAGTGCTTTGTCCCTGCAAGCCCTGGCTGCAACGCAGCGCTGCCCTGTTCCACACTGGCTGTTCTGCTGTGGCCACGGAGAGCTACATGTCCTGGAGCAGGAGGATTTCAAGCTAAGGGAAGAGGAGATGGTCCCTTAGACGGAACCCGGTCCTAAGAGATGAAAACTTCTCGGGCCCAGAATATCAGCCTGGGGACAAGGGGCTAAGCAGTGGGTGATTCCACCTTTAGATGCAGCAGAGATGGGCTTGATGGCCAGCAGGTGGCTTGCCTGCCAGGTGTGAAAGGGCAGGACGTCACATGGAGGCTTGACAAAGTCGTCTGGGCTTCCCCAGTCGGTGTCCTTCAGGTGGGTTGGATGGCAAACAGATTGCGAGAGAAGGTTGTGATTGCAGAACATTCCCGCACCAACATCATAGAAAAGTGCTGTTTTGAGGTCCTGGAAGAAAAATATTTCTTGCCCAAGAAGGTGATGGCAGTCCAGGACTCCAAGGTTGTTTTTTTCTGAATCACTTCTTGTTCTATGGCCAGGATCAGCTGTGGGGGTGGATGAGATAATGGTGCAAGGAGGAAGAGTTTAGATTTCTTGGGTGCTCCGGGACATTCTGGGACAAGTCAAGCTGCCATGGACAGGATGGGCTCTGCGTGAACTGAAGGCACTGTGGGTATGTTGTTTTGTTGTTTTATTTTTGTAAGTCATCCAGAGACTCTGGTATTGGATGGCATATAAATACTTTAAATAAATAAATAAATAAATAATTCCAAAGGTTGCAGAGCAACATGTAATCTAATTTCCAGAGGGAATCCAACAGGAACCACCGGGAAGCCTCCAGGTTGTGAGTCACCCTTTGGAATGAGGGCGTGGATGCTCGGAGTCATTCTCCCGGGACTAGGCAGGGCTTCTCAGTGAGAAAGCTGTTGTTGAGGTTGAGCAAACAGAAACAAAGAGCTGCCACGTAAAGTCATGGAAAACAATGCAAGGAAATTGAGGGAAACATATACTGTTGTGTATATGCCACAGCCAGAGGCCAAAACAAAGGCTCTGCAATGCTCAGCACTCAAAGGCACATAAGGATAATGGCACCTGTTACAAAGGTGCACATCAGTGGGACATGAGCATCTCTGGAGGTGGAATGTCCTAAGATTGGATGGGGAAGGGCAAGTGTGCAAGGGGGTGGATGGCTCTTTCTCTCAAAGAAGCCCTGGAACAGCCAGCTAGAAGATGTAGGAGGACGGACCGTGGGAGGAATGCTGGGCCAGATGAGTGATTTTGTGTTCGTGATGCACCGTTGCTGCTTCTGCCCACAGCTCTGGGAATGACTGGGATGGAAAAGGAAACCAGGGAGGCAGCTGCAGGAGACAACGTAATAATGCGGTATCGTCTTGTAGGAATAGGCATCTTCGGCTGTCCCCACCTCAATCGTGTAAAAATGCACTCAGATCTCGACAAGGACACGACCAACTTGGGTGTGATAAATGGCCGCTTCTTGCACACTTAGCCAGTGTGGCGCCATCCAGGGTGGGAAAGGCATCAACATAACAGGGTACAAACACATCCAGCACAAAACAAGGAATTGTGGGCAACTTGGAGCCTTCTAGATGTTTGTCCCGGGACTCCGCTCACGGACCACAACGGGCTACGGCTGAGGGGAGTTCCGTGCCAAGCATCCGGAAGGGCACAGGCTGCCCACCCTGGGCCTAGTGGCTGCCCCAGGGGCCTTCATGAAAAGCATAATGAAGACCAGAGTGGTCAGAAGACAAGCCTCGCTGAAGGTGGACCTGCATGGCTTCAGCCAAGGAAAGACTGACCTCGCCTGCCTTTCAGAATTAGTGCTGGCACAGGAATAGATCAGGGTCGGACAACCTGTGCGCTCCATATGTTGTTAGACTCCAGTTCCCATAAGCCCCAGTTAGCATAGCCAATGGTCAGGGAGAATGGGAGTGGTAGTCCCACAACATCTGGAGGAACATAGCTCCTTCACCTAGTGTGGAGAAGGTGGTCTGAAACTGCTGGACACAGTCCCGCAGCAAAGCTGAGTAAACTTGGCAGTCCTAGAATAAGAGGGTGGAGGAAGTAACTGATGAACTGGGGACTGGTGAGCTTCCCTGGGGACCCCGTCATAAGAATGCCATGATAAGGAAATGTGGACCTCTTTGGACAACGCTTGCTGGCGAAACTGTTCTCATGATGTGCCGTGTAGCTTTTGCTTTCCATTTATGTCACCCCACTTACTTTCACAGTTCCGTCCAAGTTGCTATGAGCATTCCCACGTCCGGGCAGAGCTCTCCGTATTCCATTCTGCCTCATTCCTGAGGCCACAAGCAAGTCCTAGAGCCAGATTAGTACACGTTTCTTCTCTGGCAGCATAATGGGATCCAAGTTTCAGTCTGACACATGCTGGGAAAGCAAAGAGTCCAGGGGCCAATTTTTACCCAGTGGAAACTTGATTTGAGCCAAAGGAGCAACGTCATCCTTAAATAGTATGCGTACTTTCCAAAGGAGTCCAGCAGGCTCTGGAAAGGATTAGGGAGAGGTAGGTGTTACATAATGCTTTCAGTGTGGAAGAATGCTCCTGTCTTCAAGGTGGAAGATGAAAAGCTGTGGGGCCTAGTCAGGGGAGGGGGTCAGGATGTGGGGCAGCTTTGCAGCTTCTAGTTGGCCTTGGGCCTTCAGCCTGACAGTTTAGCACATTCAGTCTGGAGTGTCTTGTGGCTGTGTAGACATTGTGATAAGACTCTACTCCAGGTGTCAAAAGAACAAGCTACTGCAGAACTGACAAAGACAGACTGACATTAGATATAAAATTAGCCAAACAATATTTGGATACAGGTACCCATTTAAAACCAGCCTAAAATACCTCCATGCCCCAGCGCATTTAGCCAACTCCAATAAAAAGGGTTTTAATCTATTTAATAAAACCACAAAGGGTGATGAACCTGCAGTCTGAGTGACTGTGGTCTAATGGTTGTCTGATTGTTCTGCCTCTTGTCTGAATGATGGCTCAGTATCCCAGTGCTGTGGAAACCACACAGCACTGGCAGTGTAAAACCCCTGGGAGGTTGTGGCATAGGCCAAGCGCATAACCACTCCTCCTCCTCCTCCTTCAGAAAGAGGCTGAAGCACAACGCCTAGGAGGAAGAACAACACTGAAGTGGGGCCACCTCAGGGTGCGGGCGGGGGGGCCTGGGGAGTGTGGCTTCTACAGTCCCTGGGTCTCGATGGCTTTCGCCAATCCACTTTTCGGAAATTGGGCATAGGAGTGTAGATGTTCAGCCCCCAGATAAACTTCCCTTTTCGTACATGCTGTGTGGAAGGCAGTGAAACACGATCGATTGAAGGAGCTCAGGAAACTCTCCAGCTGCAAGCGCAGGGGGACGAATTTATCCAGGTTTGACTAAAATACCCCATCAAGCTTTCTGAAAGCCAGGAGTCAGGGCAGGGACCCTTCTTGGTGGAGAAGAGCTCTTCGCCATCATGCTTTTATCCCGCTCTTCATTCTTTCTTCTTTTGTAGTTATCTGCCCTTTGCATGTGCATAAAAGTGAGCTAACAATTCCAAAATCTTTTTAACTATGCAACAATTAAAAAATAAATACACTTGGTTGTATCCTGTCTGCAAATTCCAGCTTCCCCATCTTGAGGCGGACTCCAACTCTCATCAGTCTCAACCTGTGAGCTACCTGATTGCCAGCTGGCATGTTAGCCGGGGATGATGGGAGTTGGATTCTGACTCAGGTGGCTGAGGAAGGCTGCTTCAGTGGCACATCCTTAAAAAGGAAGCCTATCTTTAATCCATTATGGGGGGAGATGGCACCATTTGCCATTAAATCGTGATGTCAATTGGCATTGGATTGCTTGATCTCTGAGCTTCCTTCCAGCTCTGTCATTCTGTGATTAAACATTCCCCTTGCTTAGACCAGCCAGAGATGTGCATGGAGTGCTCCCCCACACATTTTGGGGATCATCTAGTGTGATCTTCGCGGGGCTTCTGCACACAGAAGGAAGCGCTCCGACCTCCCATTCAGTCTAAGATGCCCCATCCGTGCATCTTGCCCTGGCTAACCTGCACACTGTGTCATGTAAGGAGCACTAAATTGCTTTGGCAACCTGGGTAAACCACACCTGCTTCCCACTGGATCCTCCCACGGCTAGTCTCGTGTTTGCTCCCCGTGTTTTCTCTCAAACCCTAAAATTACTGGGATCATAGCAACACCAGGAAACACCCCCAGAGGTATAAATCAGCACCTCCAGTGGTGAGATCTTGTCCAGGTGCCAGAGAACTCCGCCACCATGAAGACTCTGCTCACTGCCTTGCTGGTGGCCATCCTGTGCATGGGAAAAGGTAAGGCAAGCGTGGCTAGACTGGAGAGGGGCTGCTGGGAAGACGGGGGAGCCTGGAAGAGAGAGGGAATGGTAGCGCAAAGTGAGCGGGCAAGCAAAGTGGAAGCGGGACCGAAAGTGCGAGCCGGGAGACCAGCGACTGCCATGATCAAGCTCTGCGACATCGTCAGGTTCCCTACAAAAGCCTATTCTGAGCGAGGGTGAAGCTCTCTGGCTTGGCTTTGTGAGGCCACCACAATTTCTACCACAATCCTGCAGTGGTGGGGTGAATTATGCTCTGACCCAGGTGGCACCTTTCATCACAAATGCCAAGCAAAGATGACAAAGCATTAGAATTGGACTGTTGCAATCCGGTGCACATTTACCTAGGAGTAAACTGAATGATACGGGGCTTACCTGGAATAGATATGCATAAGAGCAGGCTGGAACAATTGAAAATGTCAAGCAAGACAGGAGGCGATGGGTTTTGGTGGGCAGATTTGGTACATTACTGGAATGGGATGGATTCTTTGGGTGCCACCTCTGGTCAGGTACATTTAACAGATCCCAAAGCTGTAACTCATCAGAAGAGAAAGAGAACCAACAGAGCTCCCATAATTGCTTGCATCAGATATTGGACAGCGTATCTGGGCCCCTCTGTGTCTGCTTCTGCCGTGCCGTCCCAACCCGACCTCTGTCCATTCTCATAGGGTGGGAACAACCTCATGCGCAAACCTGCATCGGGCTGGTTTCCACTTTACACGAAAGGTGGAGCTGGGGTGGGGGGCGACCCCCCCATTCACTTGGGGTGACTTGTGTGCACCCCCCCTCACACGCAAGACGCCTCTTGTTCCTTGTCTGACCACGAGCGAGCCAGCGAATGCCAGCAAGCAACTTCATATTTCAAAGGCCCTTTCCCGTAGGTGCACACTGACGATCAAGAGTGAGCCCGTCTCCAGTCGGGACTGGCTGCCTCGTTCATCATGCACAGTGAATTTATACACACAGCTTCATGCACTGATTAGTAGCAGATAAATTCACAGCAGAAAACGTTCAGTTACTTTTGTACGTGGTTATCCTGACCTGCAGTTCTGGAGTTAAAACATCTGGTTCCAGGTTCATCTTTGCACATTCCGACCTTCTTGGTGGAGGTTTATCTTATATTTTCAACTCTCTTAGGTCTCTCTGATAGAACCCTAAATAACTGATCCTTGTTGCTTGGTCATCAGGAAAAAATTATATTCTTCGCAAGTGAGCCCCTGAACTGGGAGGGTTATTAGCTGCAGTCATGCGATCTTACCCACCTTGCCTCGCCCCTTGCATTTTATCTGCCCTCTAAATAAAGCACTGGGGGGGGGGGTTAGGGAAGGAGGCTGGGGCACTGATAGGAATCAGCATAGGTAGACAGTCCAACACTTCCTAGCCCCCCCCAGTATCCCCCCCGAGGTGCATTGGTGAGGCAGCTGGTGCAGTTTTTCCCACGCCAGCCACAAGGGGTACGGGCAGTCCCCACATGGAGGCCATCGGACCTCGGTGCTGGGATTGAGGAGACGGCTCTCCAGATGTTGTGTGGGGGTCCCAGTCGTGGACAGGAAGGGCTAGGTGGTCCCAGTGCCAGGTGGACAGACAGACTTGTCTCCGTGGCAAGTTATGTAGGAGTGAAGGGGAGGTGATGCTGAAAACTTTTGCTGGAGGGGGGTTTGCTTGCAACCAAATTCACTGCCTACATCCTCAGTGCTTTTGGGGAGAGAGAAAAGCGCGAGATCCCCTTTCGTTGCTTTTCTGTGTTTTTATTTGGTTATGATTTTTTCTGTTTGGAACTGTTTGTAGCTGCCTGGTTGCCTTCAGAAGGGTGGCAGAGAAACAAACAATCACATGTACCAAAAACAGAGACAAAACTGAAAAGTGTTGGAACAAAAGTATCTATTTACCAGGTGGTTTTCTCCAAAATTTAGGGGCATGTCTACCCCACTTTTCTTCTTTGGGTTGCAATTTCTAATGCAGCCTGGGGTCCTCCAGACGTGCTTGACCACAACTCCCATCAGCCTCAGCCACTATGGCCATTGGCCATGTGAACAAATTCCAAGTGCAGTTTCCATTTCAAAACCAAAACAAATCCAAAATCCAGCTAGCTTGCTGCCAAATTTGTGCGTGGGCACCTCTTCCTCCTCCGCTTGTGCAAGGAAAACATCCTCCTGGCTTCTCGCTTTCCATTCCTGCTCTTGCTAATTGCTTTGTTGATGCAAACGGGTTTCGTCAACAGAGGTGTCGCTGTCCCTGCCACGATGCTGTCCGACTGCTCGTTCATCCTGAGCTTCCCTTCCAAGAGGGTGTGGCAACCGCCCGCCAATTTGAGCCTAATGAATGCTCGGGAGATGTGCTCAGACACGGCCAGCTGGTCTGCTCTCTCAGGTTTCGTCACATCACATAGCTTGCCCCGAAGGCTGCTGAGAGGCTGCAGGCTGCATTTAGGGAGCGCTTCGGCCCCCGCCTAAATGGTTTTGACCTGCAATCCCTTGAGGGGCTTCTCCCCGAGTTGATTGTTCCTATTCCTTGAGCTGGATCCTTCGGCAGAGGGCACTAAACTGGTGCTCCCCAGATATTTTGGCCTTCGACCCCCATAGGCTCCAGAGAAGATAAACACCCTTGATACTTCAGGCGAGTCTTTTCACTGATGGCCAAGATGAGCAGCTTGCCATATTTCTCCGAAGCCTTTCCTAACCAGATGGCCAGGACCACAGCTCCCATCATCCCTGGCCAGTGGCCCTGCTCAGACTGTGCCAGGTTCTGAGGCACTTGGGGTTTTGTAGGTCCAAGTTGGACACACGAAAACAAGCGTGAACAATCACCTGGAAGCAGATGCTTGTGCAAACACATTTGTTCTGCTCCCCTGCCTTCTCTTTGCACAGTCCACGCACTCTGGTGCTACAGATGTGAAAATGAGCCTTCCAACTGGAACTGCATAAAACTGGTGAAGTGTGCCGAAACGGACAGCTACTGCTCCACAACAGTGACCACCTCAAGACAGGGTAGGCACCACCCCGTCTTCTTTCTGAGCCCTAAAGCCGGCTGTCAGCTCCGGTTTCTCTGCAAGCCTCCAACAGCTGGCTGAGCGCCTGGGAGGCCACGGAATGTTGTCGAACGTTCCAACTGGGGAGCGAGAGGCGACAGCCATGCTGTGCGGAACGCCATGGCTCGAAAGGCAGCTTGGGCTGTGGGAGGGATGCTCTGGCCCAAAGAGAACGGGGGGAAGTGCCAAGAAGGGTGAGGGGGGGAAGGCCGAGAAAGTCCTACAGCCCAGCCATTAGAGGACATGAGTCCAAAAAGGGAGATCACACCCCTCTCCACCAGGAAGTGTGTCCAGAGGGGTGGGATCTCACATTTCGGTTCAAAATAACTTGCCAGATCTTTATCTCTAGGCCCCTGGCCTTGTGTATGACTGTTGATTCCATTTCCTGGCTCCAGGTAAGGACACCGACTACCGGCTCAGCAAGGGCTGCGCTCCCACCTGCACGGAAAACAACATGGTCACAAGCCTAGGGTCCGTTTCCACGTCATGCTGCCAGCGCTACGGGTGCAACTTCAGCGGGGCCACAAGCGTGAAAACCAGCAGTGCGGTGATGGTTGTGGGAATCCTGGCCAGTTTCTTCTACATCTTCCGATCGGGGTTGTAAAGTAAGGGGTTGAGAACTCAAATTTCCCATTTAAAAGATGAGCAGTGCTTCTCCTTCCCTTGCCCCACCCGCTAAGGCATCCGAGTGGTTTGCTGGCACCCATCTTTGTCCTCAGAGCTGAAAAGGCGGATGGGGCACGGTTCGATCCGCCTCTGTGGAAAGTCCAGCTCTGCTTGCTTCGTGCTGCTGCAGGAGCGTCTCTGTGTAAAATTAATTTCCTTTGGCCTCTTGCTTTGCAACTTGCGAATTTGCAGATGGTCCGTGTCTCATGGATGCATAGAAAATGCTGCACTGGAAAATGAATGAGCAAGTTTTGTACTTTGCTGTTCTCAGCTTGCTGCCTCACAGGTGCCACCTTTATTGGTCGGCCCCCACCTCCCGTACAATTGATGCTCCATCTCCATCCACTCCAGAATTGTCCCCAAGGTGTCCCTCCTGCTGGGCTCAGGGTTCGTCTAGGCCAGAGTTCAGCTGGATCAATCATTGTTCCGGTTGCTGGTGCTAAGTACTCCTCTTCTAAGTGTGTGTCTGGGTGGCACGGAGTGGGGCATAGGGATGCCCAGGAGAGGACCGGAAGGGTTACCAAACTGCACTTCGTTGGGATCCCAGTGCGGCCCAACTGGTGCCAGGCTGGGCCCTTCAGGGGACGAACGTGTCTAGCAGGAGAGAAGACCAAGGCAGCACATTCTGACTGGTCGAGGCTGCAGCAGCTGCCCAGCGAGGGGAGAATTCGCTGGACTGACAGGAGCAGGGAGGGGTGGGGGAAGAACACACCTGAAAGCTGTAATCTAGCTTTCTCCAACCTTGCTGGGAGGGGTGATGGGAGTTGTAATCCAACACACCTGCAGGGTGCCTGGTTGGAGAGGGCTGCTGCACAGAGTGGCTTTGCTGCTCCTAGTATTGGGAGGAAGGTCCTTAGCAGTCCCCATCTGAGACAAATGTCTGAGACAATATCTGATGCACAATAGATTCCTGCTCTCCACTTTTTCTCCCAGCAACTGTTTCTGCTCTACTTGACCCAACATTCCTCTAAGTTCACAGCACTGCATGCTGCATATTTTTATACTTCTTGTGTCAAATAATGGAAGCTTTATTCTGCTGTTTTGTTCCTGTGATTTGGAGTGTTGGTCTGTTTGTTAATAAAGTTTACCGTTGAAATGCTGCAGTTGTGGTCTCTGCTGAAAATTCAGTTCAGGGCACCTTAAGGGCAGCATGGATCAGAGAACGGCTTATCATATTCTAACTGCTCCTTCACTTCCGGGGATTGCTTCTGCCAACCAGGCAGGATCCACAGAAAGTCTGCAGAGAGCAGTGAATTTAGAGGAATGCCTTAGACCAGTTAGATGCAGATTCAGGTCCCTTGGGCTAACCATGCAGACATATGCACGTGTGAACATACTTAGCAGAATCAAGGGGTTGTTATATGAAGGTCAAAGCCGGAGGGGGTCACCTTGTGCTCCTTGGAGTAAAGGTAGGAAATATTTATTTATTTTATTGAAAACTTTTTAAGATCATCTCATCATATTGGGACAGTTTGACAATAAGACAAATAAAATAAAACACAGCATCCTAATCAAATTCTTAACTAGTCAACAAGAAAACCCATATAAAAAACATTCAGACCTTAAAACATTGGGAAAATAAAAAGGTTTTGGCCTGGTGCTGAAAAGAATGAAGTGATGGTGCCAGGTGAACCTCTCTGGGGAGCGAGTTCCACAACTGGGGGGCCACCACAGAGCAGGCCCTTCTCCAGGTAGTCACGCTCCTAATCTTCTTCAGGGAGGGCTCCCGGAGAAGGGCCTCTGCCCCAATAGACACATAATGCCTTCCCGGCATGGCCAGTCAGGTGGCTTGTTTACCAAAAAGTCTGTGTCCCCTCGTGAAGCTCAAGGTGCCCATGGGAGAAATCCAAAGCAGTCACACTCATCAGAAGGGGGCAGCGGGGTCAAGTTCTGCGAAGCAGAGTTGAGTCTGGCAATGCAAGGTGGCAAGATCAGACCAGAGGAATCTCTCAGGACTCTGGACAGCTCTATGCTGGCTGGAAGGAACTCACCCAAGCAAAGCTGTTGTCTCAGCACTGTGCTGTTGTTTCTTGAGGATTTGTAGAGCCTGCCCAATCTGGACCTGATGTTAACCCCACCCATTCTGAGTTGTCTGTCCCTTAAAGGGCCATTGTGTGATCCTTCTTCCCCCTGCTGCTCTGATATTGGAGTTGTGGGGATCCCAGCACTGGGAATTCGAAGCAGGGACTCCCACTGAGTCCAGCAGCATCACATTCTCTGTCCTGAAATGTTCCAGATGGCAGGTGAAGGCTCACCAGATGATGCCATCTCTACCTTGGGGTCCTCCTCCAAATTAGGGAGGGTTGCAAGGACATGGCCAGAGAACTTCAAGCTGCTTTTCTCGGGGAACCTTCATTTCTGGCCAAGCCTGGAGAGGGTGCTCTCTCTGAAGCACCAATTGCCCCGGCCAACTCGCCAGCAAGCATCCTCTGCCCTTCCCCACCACACAACTGGCGGGATCTCAGCAAAACCCCCAGCTTCCCACATAACTCCATGCACTGGGGACTGAAGTGGTAGCACCTGTCCGAGAACGGGACCAGCTAGCATTTGGCTGAAAATGGCAAATTCCACGTTGATCCTTAGGGAAGAAGCCAACAGCAGTCGGGTCCAAGGAGAGGCTGCAACATTGGGCTGTTGCGAGCTTAGAAAGGTAAGGGGGACGCGTGGCAGGAAGGGACACGTGCTGTGGACATGTTGCCTTTCCCCTGCTCTCGAAATGCTTTGTGCCCACGGGGTCATGAAGCCCCGCGGAGAGGGAGCACTTCTTCACATAGCTAATATTATGGGATTCACTATCCCAGGAGGGTCATGATGGCCATCAGCTCTGAGAGCTTTTGAGGGGGGGTTGGACTAATCCATGGAGGAAGTGGCCTCCTAGGGCTACTGGACAGGGAGGCTGATCTATGACCACCACTAAAAGAGACAGTAGAGCTCTCAGTCCCAGTTGCTGGGGAACATGGATGAGCAGGTGCTAGAGTGGGTATGTCCCATGTGCAGGACTGAAGAAGCAGAAGAGGGAAGTACCAGGCAGAACGTTTCTCTGCCCTGCTAGTCAGAGGGGGCTGCGAACACTTTCAGCGGTAGAAGCCTTAACATCCTGCAACTTACGCAAAAGAACTACTATCTGTTGAACTGCAATCTTGAAACGTGCCGCCCACGATCCACCTGTGCAAAGTTTTGGCCCAGGTAGGCCCCACCTGCCACAGATACAGTAAAGGCGGACACGTTTGCCCTTTAGACACCAGGCTGTAGTTTGGCAGATCATACATTCCTTTCAAGTTCTGCAGGAAACAACTGATGTTAATTATCCTGGGTTTCATAAAGGTGTGTCTTTCCTTAATTTGGTGAAATACTGAGCAGTGGTTTGAAAGTTCTTCAGGCTTTTCTGCCCCATGAAAGCTACTGGCAGCAAATTCTGGCAAGGTCAGGCTGGGCATGTTTCATTCTGAAGCTGGAATGCTGCCAGTACTCCATCGCTTTGGATGAGCACGCTGATTCACAGAGGGATAGTAGGAAACCAGTCTACACAGATGAGAGAGAGAGAATTTCGACAACTGAGAGAGGCATTTTGCTGACAGCAGAGGGTGGAAAAGGAAAGGGCTATGCAGGAATTCTAAGCAGAATTATTCAGAAGTAAGCCTTTCTGAACATACAGAGAAACCTCGGCACATCTGTTCAGTTGACATGTCAGCTATCTCTCTCTGTGTGGTTTTCAGGCATTGCTTGCTTGCTTGTTTTCTGTCTTCCTTCCTAAAGAAATATCTTTTTCTTTCAAAAGAAATTTCCTTTTTTAAAGTGCGTGGCAAATCAATGATAAAAACCCTGTGGAGTTAAGGCCAGTGGCTCAGTCCAACAAACCCAGGCACTGGGAAGTGGAAGGTGCAGCAATATGCATGCATAAAGAGAAAACAGTCCCCCAGCTGCCTCCCAGCATGTCTGGCCAGCCACGTCACGAGCGGCACTTGCTACAGGCAGACGTGGCTGCGTGCCCAGGCAGATTCCTCCAGCAATACACATACACTCCCGCGATTCACAAGGCGAGGTGGGACCAGGACAACTTGGGCAGCTTTGCTGATCCCAGGCACTCCATCCTGCTCACCTGGATTTCTGCCTGAAAACTGCGGGAAGTTGCAGGTGCGTGAAAGGTAAGTTCAAGCCAGCACATTTCTGGCATGGCTCAGCATCTTTCATTGGGCAATGCGCCGGTTGTTGCGAGTGCATGTCATCAAGTCGTCTCCGACTTTGGTGGCTCCGGGAAGGAATGCCATCCAAAATGCCCTGTCCTTCCCAGGGCTACTCATTTGGGTAAATTAAAACTCCCGCTTTCCAGCAGCGCTGCCGTATCTGCACACACTGCTGTGGCTGGTAAAAGATCTTGGCCCCCTTTTCCCCGGCTCAGGATGAAGCGACCCTGTGGATGTGAGTCCCCCAGAGGGTCCTGTCCTTGACGGCCCTGCTCTGCTCTTGCAAACTCCAAGCGGCGGCTTCCCCCGTGGAACTGACCCATCTCATCCCTGGTCTTCCTCTTCCTCCTCCTCTTCCTTCTTTCAGCATTTTGGATGACTCTTCCTGTGTAGGCTAACCAGAAGTTGGAGATGACTTGATGACACACAACAGCATCCCGAGCTCCGGAACTGGGAGAACACGAGCTGCTGGGTGAGTCTATCGCATGTGCTTGGAACTGAATCACACAGAACCCTACAAGAGTAGCACTGGAAGGGACCAGTAACCCCCCGCTCAGCGCAGGGCTCCCAGTTGGACCATTCCTCTCAGATGCTGTTGTTAGATAAAAGGTGTCCCAGCAATTATCAGGGTAAAGTGAGCAAAAGCCATATAGAATCACAGAATCAGAGAAGAGTAGAGTCGGAAGGGCCCATGAAGGCCATCGAGTCCACCCCCTGCTGTTGCAGGACACCAAGTCACACCATCCCACTCAGA